CCCCTCTCCTCTCCTCTCCTTTCCTTTTCTCTCTTTTCCTCTCCCTCTCTTCCTCTGCCCTCCTTTCCTTTCCCTTCCCCTTCCACTCTTTCCCCTCTCCTCTTCTCTCCACTCTCTCCCCTCCCCTCCCCTCCTCTCCCTACCCTCCCTGCCCCTCCTCTCTTCCATGTTTTGTTCCTTTCCTTTTGTTTTGAGCTCTGTTCTTCTCTGGAACTTGGGATCAAACCCAAGTCCTAGAGCACACTGAGCAGTGTTCTCCCCTGCTGAACTACACCCCTGGCCCAATGCACATTTTTGTTTAAATACAAAGTGGATGCCATGAGACAACATGCCTGGTGTCTAATTTTGTTTTGTTTGTTATTCTTAGGCCTGGGTTTTAAAGGAATTAGAACCTCGGTGGACTGAACTGGATGCACAATTTAGTGCAGATATAGACTTTTCTCGGCAGAGGGTACTGTTCACACTCAGGCTCTTGGAGTTCATGTTGGCTTTGTGTGGGGGAAGTTGTGAGCTCAGTATGTTTGTTCTCACCTTTTATTGAAAATGGATTGTTTCTGTCACATAATATATCCTGATTATGATTTCCCCTCCCTCTACTCTTCCAGGTCCTTCCCATCTCCCCTCCCATCCAGATCCACTCCCGTTCTGCCTCTACAGAATAGTAATAAAATGAAATACAATAATATAGAACAAAGACTAACACATAGGAACAGGACAAAACAATCAAACATAAAGGAAAGAGACCAAGAGAAGGCACAAGAAACAGATAGAGAGGCAGAGATGCACTCATTTGCACACTCAAGAATCCCATGAAATCACTAACCTGGAAATCATAATATATAATAATATATATCCAAAGGACCCATAGGGTAAAAAGAGAATATATATATATATATATATATATATATATATATATATATATTCTGTTGGCCACTTATTGCTAGGCATGCAGCCTATCCTTAAGAGTACCCTCAATGAAACATCCTTGAAAGAAACTAAATTTTCACTTGCAAATGGTTATTGGGGCCTGTGTCCATTTCTCCTTTCTGCTGTAGGACCCCCACTGGTGCAGACCCATGCAGGCCCTGTGCATGCTGCCTCAGTCTCTGTGATTTCATATA